AAGAACGCACCTTGAATTTTAGTGTGCAGCTCGTTCAGTATTATCTGTAGATGACCGACAGACATTTTGATCAAGTGTGCTCTCGTAAATCGTTGACACCCGATCGATATTCCAATCTAAAATCAACCTATCATTATTGAATACAGCACCTGTCCTGTACTGAGTATATAGCAAACAGTTCGAGGTCGGTCAAACTGCAGAGCAAAAAAGTGCTTTTCATTATTAAGATACGATGATATATGATAAACGTCATTCTCTGTTCAGAAAGAATCACAGGAAATGCAAACATACCAAGCGACTAAACCTCATTTTCAAGATAGTGACAGTTGAAGCGGCTTTAAGGATGTCATTTTCCCTGCATTTTTGATGCACTAATCGAACACTGTCCGGATCATTCATCGACCTTACCCGTGAGATGACATTTTGTTCAGAGGGTAGATCTTTACAAATACATTACACAGTACTTTCTTTAGAGATTACAATAAAAACGAGCAAATTCGAAACTCGAAATTTAACTCGAAACTCGAGCAAATTCGAAATTTAAGTACATTTCAGATTTCTTTAAAATAAATACATAATAAACAAATTTCACACAAAAGTATCGGAATTACTTATAATTCTACAAAACACTTTTAGGCAATATCAATGCAATGAGAATAATTCGAAATATTCCTACATATTATTCGAAATAATTAGGCGCTTCGTTTAATAATTCGCTCATCTAGTGTTCAGTACTTAAAATATGATGGATTTGTAGTTATGCTTGGTGACAACAAATGGCAGTAACATCGTAATACAGTCAGAGCTGCCATCATGGATAATGAACGCTGAGCAAGACCTGTGTTGAACTGCACTTTACATACGACACTTTACAACGGCACGTTGCGCGGTGAAAGCGTCCCTGAAAAACATTCAGGCGTAATTTCCGCTGTCTTAAGTGACTTTCTGTTATTTAACTGTTTTGCTTTAAGGGATCTTTATAAAATGTTATTCTGCTGCTTATAGTAAATATCATTCCTACGTTCTTTTACATATTCTCTTACAAACACCGCAGTTACTTTTAGATAATCGAGATAGTCTGTGGCGTGGTGAAACAGCGTTTATGAGGTCGACTTTGACCTACGGAGTAACCGGGTTCGCATCAGCTCAAAGGACAGCCTTTGTGTTAACCGCGAATTTCCTTGAGAACGAACGAATTAACCTCACATCGCATCGGCGCAACCTATTGAAAATGAAGTAATTCCATGACTTGCGACAAACAGGGAGAACATTTTATTCTTGTCTGGTCACGCCAGAATGGAGGGGCTGTACAGCCATGCCGTCCGACGCCACCGCTATTTGTGGCAACCCTTCGCCCTGACCCATCAGTCTGGGTAACAGTGTAACAGTCTGCTGAAGGTGTAACCGGTCGCATCAGGAGGGTTTTTCGATGGCTGACGTACGCCGCCAATCGGACAGGCTCAGTTGCCTGGACTCCAAGGCGGGACCATGCTATGTATTGTACATAATCAGGCCATCTGATTCGCAGTCTTCGCTTTGACCACTTTTCATGCAGTTCCGAAATATCCTCACATTCACATTATGACATATCGACACTGTGGGCCAAATTCACACAGCCATACACAAACCTCATTGGTAACGATTATAAACATCCCATCGCCATGACAATGAATCAGCAAGCATCGTTTCTTATAAAATAATTTTATGCTAACACTTTAAGACTGCCTGAACACAAGGCACAGAAACCCTTCACTGCCGTAGAAAAATGTCCGCGTGACTCACAAGAAATCTGGAGGCAACCGAGAGGTGAACCGAGTGCAAGACATAGGATTTCCAATGGGTCGGTTTCCACTGGTACTGAAAAATCGTTCCAAAATTGAACAAGCAACAATACTTCAGGTTTTTGATTCTGGACTTAGAGATATATAGATAGGTGGTTGAATTATTCACGGTTCGGGGCACCAAATATAACAGATGGTAGAACAGTTTATTGCGTATCGCAACATAGACCGTAGCATAATCAAGGTTAGGCCAAGTACAAATGACTGCATGAAGGCAGTTATGTCCAACAAGTGAACAATACTTTATAATCAAAATGTTATTAAACCCAGACTAGCAGAATGTTAACCGACAAACAGTGCCGAGACAGCAACAAAGCGTAAATTGAAAGACCAACAGGAAAATGATCATCCGGATAAAAGAGCATCTTCCTACGGTCCACCTTGGACATGCTGAGAATTCCGGTTTTGTCCAACATGCGATTACTGAAGGGCATTTTTTCAGTCACCAATATCTCTGTTATAGACAAAGACCAGTCTAAATTAGGTCTGCTGATAAAAAAATCCATGAATATAGTTGCAATGAAAAACCGGATGTGCAGTGAATATATAACTTTAATGGTTATTACCGAAAGCTGGTGGAGGGAGAGGACGACTGCAAAATAGATCAGGTTGTATTAACGAGAAAATTATACTGTTTGTTGGTTAACACTGGGGCCGGTCAGTTTAATAACACTTTGATTGTAAATTATTGTTCGCGTGTTGGACATAAGTGCCTTCACATGCAGTCGTCTGCACTTAGCTTAGCCTTGATGACAATCTAAAAATTTAACGGGCTTTTTACAATTGCAAGAGCAACAGTAACCACAGGTGAATAAAAAATAATGAACTAAAACACAGTTAAGGTATTCTTCATAAATGCCAAACTTATCCATAACAAGGAGGATATTAACTGAAAATCGAAATTTTAGCCGATATTTTAATGCATTCCAAGGATAGTTCAAGAACTTCGCAAAATGATTCAAAATATAAGCAACCTATAAAAGCACGCATGAGAACACAATAGTCGAACCATTCACACTGTCTACTGTACTAGACAAATAAAACTTTCTTCAACTGGGAAAATTAATTCAACTCTGCCGTTGCCGCTTCCAAGCCTGGTTGAGAAAGGAGGAGAAATAGAGACAGTCGCGAAATCCCCGCAAAATCTCGCCACCCGCACTTCAAGGCATTGACGCCATCGCAATTACAGGGGCTCGGTCGTCGCCCAAGTAACCAAAGGCCGCGCAGGCTGTTGCAGGAGAGACTGAGAAAGACTGAGAAAAGGCGACGATCAGAACATGCTCAACGACCGCTGCCAGCCAGAGGCATAGCAGTGCAACAGCGTCTGAAGAAGACCGACCGAATGACGACGAAGATACCAGTCAGCAATTGTGTCGCTACCCGGTCTG